ATCAGGACAACACAAAAATATTTCTTGGAGAAATAAAAGGCTGGTTGACCTTAAAGTCACTGCTTTCCAGAAAAACATGCTTTTGATAATGAGAACTGCCAGACATTCTCTAGCGTTTTTTAAGAATTCCCTCTAGCGTGGTTTTCTTTTAGAATCTGTATGCAATGTATTCACTTTCCAACTAAAGTTTAAATTATGTGATTTTTAGAGCAAATATATTTACATAATATATTCTTTTAAAACAGTCTGTAATCTATAGTCTCTGAAATAGAAAAGTTTATCCTTTAAAGTGTGTAACTAGTAGGACATTTGTTTACATATTCCACTTCACCTAAATAGCTAGCATTTTAACAGAACCTGGGTGAAGTTATTTACATTTTTTGTATATATACACTAAATTCAGATTGTATGGATGATGCTTTGTAGGTAACAAAAAAGCTGTATTACATTCATAAATCATATGATGCTATATTTATGTTACATGTGATAAAGCATATTTTTTTACTCTCTTTTGTCACTATCTTCCATGATGGTAATCACGGAATATATTGATATTAATATTATAATCCTAAACAAACAATATATTCCAAACAAAAGTTTTTGATACAATTACTGTGCATATTAATAGTGTTTTGGTGAAATTCACTGTTTGGACACTTTATTAGGTAGATCTTGCCAGTACTGGTCTTGACTCCATTTTGCCTTCATAGCTAGCTGATTTGTTTCTAGCATGGATCTCCAACAAGGTCTCAGAAATGTTTCTGAGAGGTTTTGGTCCATGAGATACTGTTATTTGTCTTTGAACTAATATCTGGTGACTAAAGGCCCTCAGTATGATTGCATAATTGGAACATAGATGCCTTCATTCCTCCAAGAAAATATTCCCAAACATCTTTATATAACCATCACTAGCTGTAACCAATTGATACTAGATGTGATATATGCATGCAAGTGTTCACATTAATTTATTTAATCTTACAATCGGAATTTGGAGCAAAAAACAACAAAAATTGGACAAGCTACCTTTAATCCATTATTGTTTATTCATTGTGAACATGTGTCCAACCTGGTGACACTACGTTGTTCTTCTGTATGGTCCTTGGTGTAATACTTGAAGGGCTGACACACTGTGTATCCTCATTTGAGTAATTACTTAAGCTACAGTTATCCTTCTTTTGTCTCACATCAATTATCCTTAATTTATCAAAATCCTTAGATCAAATCGAGTTTTATAAATGTTTTTTTAATGCTTAATGTCATTTAATTCCCTGCATATTTACAGTACTGCAGATGCCTAATGCATCATGTTTCTGCCTGGTGATTGGCTAATCCACCTGGTTAAAAAGCAGTCAGACAGGTGTTTCTATTAAGAGGGCTTTTGAGTAAATGTAAACTGTTCTACAACAGTAGTCTGAATATAAAATCTTTGTAGGTTTCAGGTGTTCTGCTGCATAATATTCCTTTCATCCCTGAACACCTGGATAATTTAGGGACTATCAAACCATCAGTACTTCAGCTTTACCTGCAGGTGATCCAAGGATGAGTAAACTATTGATAAATGCATTTGCAATATTCAACACCTTATTTCATTTAGATGTATTAATAGAATATAGTTTAAAACAAGCATTTCATCCATTCATTGTCTAAGAACCATCTGCCTAATCATTTAGCTCATAATGCTAAATTAAGGACAATGTTTATGATAAAAAAAAAAACTGCCTTTATAATAAATATAAATGCTCCAATGTTAATAACAATGGGGACCGATTTATTTACAGTTAATGAAGGTTATTTCTTGGGGACTTCAGTGGGCACTGTCTCATTCCGGGTGGCTGCCGGGCCCGGCCTGGGCCTCCTGGCCCTGTGGGGATCCCACTTGGGGCTGGTGCACCCCTGGGCCTTGAACCCCAGGGCTCTCATCTAGATCCACCTTTGGCGTGGCAAGCCGCCAGCAGAGACCATGGGCTCACTGCCATGGCCCTTGGGACCCCGGCTCTATGGCCTCCGGATTCGGGCCCCTCAGGGACCGGGCGCCTTTTGGGGTTTGGCCCCTCAAGGATCGGGCTCCGGCTACTCTTGTCTGCCCTTATCTGGTGGTTGCGGCCATCCCTATGTCTGCCCTCCTTGTTTCCCAGTAATCTGGAGTGCCTCTTGATAATAGGGCTCACGTCCTCTCTTTTTCTGTCCTGGGCCCTGTCGGTCGAGTCTGGGGCCGCCCACACCTGCTATTAGGCATAATTTCCATCTGAAGCTTTGTGAAACCTTTATACATTAGAATGTTTTTGCATGTGGTTCCAGGTGTTCATAGATAAACACTAATCCTAAACACTAACCTGCAGCTAAAGATATATACAACCCTGATTAATATTGCGTTGTAACCATAGGTTCTGACTTTAACACACATGAAGAGGACACATACTACTCTTGAGGCTTTTTTTAAACATATTTTCTTTATATACTTTTGCTGTAATGCACCCTGGTTTCTGTTCTTTTTGTCTCTTACAGGAATGGAAGCAAACTTCCATATGTTACTGTATATCTTTTGTCTATTTTTGCTGTTTTGTTTTATTTTCGCTCTTTTCATGTGCTCTTTCCTGTCTCTTTTTCTCTCCCCTAAGTTCTTACCCCCTCTTCTCTCTCACCTCCTTTTCCATGTTCTTCTATGTGATTTTACTGCCCTAATAATGTTCAAGATTAATATACAAGTATCAAGCAGAACCTTATGGCAAAGGTCACACTGGTCTGCTTGTAAAAGCAAAGCTGTTGGGCTATCAGCTAGCTCCCAGAGCTATTTGCTAAACAGGACATACACAACAAAAAAAAAAAGGGAAAACACCCATGCAATGACTAGAAAACACCAGTAGGATGCAGTGTTATCAAGCACATTGAACAAAAGGCTCCATGAGGACAGTGAGAAAAATCAGAGGGAGGGTTGGTTTTCTAATTGAAAATAGTTTAGAAACAACACAATGCACATATTAAAGAGACAGGTACTTATTTTGACTTGTATAAATAAAGACTTTTTTCAGTAAAAAAAAAAATAAGACACAATATTTGCTCCCTGAGTTTTCTACCTATTTTTTTTTTATTGTGTTGGGACATTTAGGTGCTGCTTAGGAAGACCAGAATCGACTTTGTAGATAACTTTATAACTTGCATCGGCACCAGTACATTGCAATCCGTAATCCACTTTGTAATCTCACACCTTTCTGTCAGAACCAGCTCTAAATTTATTCATTTATTAAGTCAAATACAGATTCTTGGCTGCCTGTGACCCAGTCACCAGCTGAGCACAGTTCCTTTCTAAACCACTTGATAAATTCTGACCATTGAACCACCATCAGCAGTTATAAACATAGAAATGCTCTAACCCAGTCATCTTGCCTCTACAATCTGTCCCTTTTTGAATTTGCTGCGATCTTTATTCTTCTTCTTCTTTCCAGCTTCTAACACACTTGGAAATATTGATTAATCAAAATTTAGAGATGCTGAGCAAACGCCAGTTCACCGGCAAAAATGAGAATAAACTAAGACAAATTTATGTATTTTTTTAAATTAGTACTTATCCTCATGCAGCCACTAAACATTTTGTAAAGTGCAATGTTTAACTAACTGAATGTTTTTGTGAATTTTCATTTGCTTTTTTAAGATGTACAAATCACACTTTGTTATACAGCTATTAATTCACAACAGATACATTTTTGACAAAGGAGGTAAAACATTCTAACTGCTAGATTCTGCAAGTGATATAACATATTTAGAGCATTTACGAAAAAACTGATAACCTGCAAAGCAGCACTGTCTTGACTTTTCTGAGTAAACTTTGAAATGGTTAAACCAGTTCTGTTGCCACTAGTTCCTCACAAACAATCCCTTTTTAAAACCCGTGTTCCCAGAATGAGACATTCAGACTTTTTGCGAGTCAATTTAAGTTTGTCAGTTTATTAATAAAGCACTTTGAATTACAGATCTTTATCATAAATTCATGCAAACCAAGAAACAATACAAATCACATGTATCTAATTAATAAATAAAAAAAAAATCTATAAAGTTACCGACTAAAATTTAAGTTCAGAACTAAAATACATTCATGTGTCTAGTGGAAATAAGTGATCTTTCATTGTAATTAAAAACTATAGAAACACATTATCTAACGTCAGAGTACCTAACCCCCCCCCACCCCCTCCCCCTGTTTTATGTTAAGACATCTGAGAGCATGTCACTTTCAGCTAAAGCTTTGTTGGTGAACTAAAATCATGAACTCTATCCTACAATAAACAGGAGCAATATAGCCCAGTTCTGACTCTCCTGTTAAATGACAAACAGGTTTGTTACTTCATTTCTGTCATACATTAAGAACATACCTTTTTTTTATGTTTTAGAGCAGGATTCCTTATAACAATGTCAGACTTTGAATTTGATTGGATTTTCTTCTCACACGCACAAAAGTCCAGCGTGTTGCCAAAACAAAATAAGAATAAAGGGACAGTTTGTGTCAGCATGATCTTAGCGGCTTCTGTTCACAAACTAGGAGATATATTTACATACGTTTACCCCAGCTTTATATTACTGTGTAAAACAGATCCGTTATTTGTCTGCAAAACAGATTTTAAATTTGCTTCACAGTAAAATAACAATTGATCTTTGAAATATAATAATAACACCAAAGGTGACATCATATTCCACTACTTTTTTCATTACAAGCAAGTCATTTCAGTAGCTTATTTCTATTAGGGACTAATTAGGTTGTTTTTTTTTTTTATCAAATTAATTGTTTTGTTTTCATTCAAAGGAAATACACATAACCTATACAAAGCTTGTTTTAATCCAAACAAATCATCTAACAAAGGCTTAAACTCTAATTAGGCCTAGACAGATGTAATGTATCTCCTGGAAAATGTCTTTCAGAATAAAAGAAAATACTGTATAGCACAATTTTTAAACCCTATGCACTGTCTAAGTAGTTATTAGAGTTTACAATAATTAATTTAGTCATTGCTAGCATTTAGTGAATATTTCTGAAAAGTTTAGTTTAACATGAATCTAGGAATATATTTAGTTAAAAGAAAGATTTTATAAAGTCTATAAAAAAGTTGTTACAGTGTTTGTTGGAGCAAACATAAATGCCATAAAGCCATGTCACTCAGCAAACAACAAACCTCCAAAATATATTTCTATTTCTTCATTATAAAACTTTAAGTTAAGAAAATGTGTTTTAAAGTTATTTATATTTGTGGATGTAGGAAATGTAAAAAAATATGTAACACTTTGTTGGTGCCAGTACGTTGACAGGACCATGCCATTCCTTTCCCAGTTTAATGCATCAACTATAAACCAGAGACAGGTGGTACTAATGTTTTTTCTCAATGATTATGCATAAATGCAATTATTTCTGTTTACTAATAGTCAATATCCCTCAGTTCACCAATCACAGAATTTTCAGCTGCAGCCTAGAGTCACACTCTTTGATTGTAAGAGTGGTTTATATTAAAATAAACACTAGTTTAACTCTACCAAATCTATGACATCCCAACATCTCTGTAGAGCAGGTATTCACAGTGCTGATGTATAATCCAAAGAAGGAAACAGAGGGTACAGTGCAGCTGCTTCGTAGGGAGGTGGAGGATCAATAGCCTGTGGTTCTGTGATCCAGGCTGGTTCACATGAGCTTTCAAATACTTCATACCTGGAGCCACTGGAAGGAGATAAGCGACTTTCATCTGACAGTTCTGGGAGGATGACGATCGGGAGTTTCAGCACTAAGTTTGGTGCATATGTGATGTCAAGGTATACCTTTAAGAAAAAAATGAAAATAAATAAAGCTGTATTTCAATTTAGATTTTTTCCCCCCCAGAATTTCCTATTCAAAGTTATCAAAGTTATATGTAGAACAAGCAATACTTTGATGAAGTTTATTTAATTTGCACCATGAAATAAAATCAAGCAGCTACATTTAAATTTAAAGTAAACCAACAAAAACGGGTCAGGGATGTCACTGAAGGTATAGTTGATATTTCTCTCTCTTTGTGGCTTAGGAGAGAGCAACTTTAACCTGACACAAATGTTGCTGGAGACTGCTGCCTGTTTTCAGAATTAAAGGTATAGTGAAGGATTTTTGCAAGCTTTTGAAAAGACCCACCCTCTCTTCTTTAAAAAAAAAAAAAAAAAATCACATGCACAACCGTGTGCCCTCTGCAGAGAGGGAACGCTTAGTAAAAACGCGTGCACAAGCATGCATGAGCCCATTTCTCCTCTTGCGCGCTCTGTTTAAAAGTTGCTGTTTGCATCGTCCATTCAAGCTTACTTTCGAGCACTTACGTAACCCGGGTGAAAAACTCAGTTTTTTCCCTTTGCTAAATACCTGTCTGCGTATTACGTCATCACGCCGCTACGTGCCGGTGTGCGTCCAACCTGTATATCACCAGGAAGTTGTTTGCAGTCGCGAGATTGGAGGGACACACGCAAGGGGTGTTGCTGCAGGAGCTGGGTACCGGTGCCGTGCTGCGTCGTTCGGAGCAGGGCGCTAGTAAGAAACTGTGAATTGGCCAGGTCAGATGGCGAGCTAAGGAACCCTACCTGTGCGCGAAGGCCAGGAAATGCCTAAAAGCCTGTCCGCTTTGGCCGGCCCCTTCCACCTGCTATTGTCCTCTTTGAGCCCTTTGGACATTTTTGCTCTCGGGCCATGACTTATTGCATTTCATGTCACTCATGTGAGCGTTTGGTATTTATTTATTTTTTCCTTTTTGAATGATCTACTAGTACTGATAAGTTTTTTCATGTCGGTGAGATTACATTGTATATACAGGTGCTGGTCATAAAATTAGAATATCATGAAAAAGTAGATTGATTTCAGTAATTCCATTTAAAAAGTGAAACTTGTATATTATATTCATACATTACATACAAACTCATATATTTCAGATGTTTATTTTGTTTAATTTTGATGATTACAAATGACAACAAATGAAAATCTCAAATTCATCATATCAGAAAATTAGAATATTGTGAAAAGGTTCAAAATTGATGGCCCCTGGTGCCACACTCTAATCAGCTAATTAACTCAAACCACCTGCAAAAGCCTTTAAATGGTCTTTCAGTCTAGTTCTATAGGCTACACAATCATGGGGAAGACTGCTGACTTGACAGTTGTCCAAAAGACGACCATCGACACCTTGCACAAGGAGGGCAAGACACAAAAGGTCATCGCTAAAGAGGCTGGCTGTTCACAGAGCTCAGTGTCCAAGCACATTAATAGAGAGGCGAAGGGAAGGAAAAGATGTGGTCGAAAAAAGTGTACAAGCAAGAGAGATAACCGCACCCTGGAGAGGATTGTGAAACAAAACCCATTCAAAAATGTGGGGGAGATTCACAAAGAGTGGACTGCAGCTGGAGTGAGTGCTTCAAGAACCACCACACACAGACGTATGAAAGACATGGGTTTCTGCTGTCGCATTCCTTGTGTCAAGCCACTCTTGAACCACAGACAGCGTCAGAAGCGTCTTGCCTGGGCTAAAGAGAAACAGGACTGGACTGCTGGTGAGTGGTCCAAAGTCATGTTCTCTGATGAAAGTAAATTTTGCATTTCCTTTGGAAATCAAGGTCCCAGAGTCTGGAGGAAAAGAAGAGAGGCACTTCATCCACGTTGCTTGAAGTCCAGTGTAAAGTTTCCACAGTCAGTGATGGTTTGGGGTGCCATGTCATCTGCTGGTGTTGGTTCATTGTGTTTTCTGAGGTCCAGGGTCAACGCAGCCACATACCAGGAAGTTTTAGAGCACTTCAGGCTTCCTGCAGCTGACCAACTTTTTGGAGATGCAGATTTCATTTTCCAACAGGACTTGGCACCTGCACACAGTGCCAAAGCTACCAGTACCTGGTTGAAGGACCATGGTATCCCGGTTCTTAATTGGCCAGCAAACTCTCCTGACCTTAACCCCATAGAAAATCTATGGGGTATTGTGAAGAAGAAGATGCAATACACCAGACCCAACAATTCAGAAGAGCTAAAAGCCACTATTAGAGCAACCTGGGCTATCATAACACCTGAGCAGTGCCACAGACTGATCGACTCCATGCCACGCCGCATTGCTGCAGTAATACAGGCCAAAGGAGGCCCAACTAAATACTGAGTGCTGTACATGCTCATACTTTTCATGTTCATACTTTTCAGTTGGCCAACATTTCTATAAATCCTTTGTTTTTATTGGTCTTCAGTAATATTCTAATTTTCTGATATGATGAATTTGAGATTTTCATTTGTTGTCATTTGTAATCATCAAAATTAAACAAAATAAACATCTGAAATATATGAGTTTGTATGTAATGTATGAATATAATATACAAGTTTCACTTTTTAAATGGAATTACTGAAATCAATCTACTTTTTCATGATATTCTAATTTTATGACCAGCACCTGTATATCTTTGAATGGCCATTTCTATATGTAAATATTATGTTCTTTGACTTTTTCCACTTTCTAATATATGGTCATCAATTCATGTGTCGAGTCTCACTCCACTCCTAGAAATCTGAGAAATCTTCTGATCTAGCCCAATACTTACCTGTTATACATAATTAGCTGTGACATACATGCTACACTTAGGATTGCTTTACTGAAACATATCTGCAGAATTATTGACAATTAGGAGGACCACTTATTTTGGGCTGCTCAGTGGTGCAGTGGGTAGCACTGCTGCCTTGCAGCAAGAAGGCTCTGGGTTCGATTCCTGGCACGGGGTCTTTCTGCATGGAATGGTTGTTAGTCCTGTGTGTCTCTGTGTTGCCCTGTGATTACCCTGCCTCTTGCCCATTGACTGCTGGAGATAAGCACCAGCACCCCTTGCGACCCCACTCGGGACAAGCGTGTAAGAAGATGGATGGACTTATTTTGATGATCCACCCGGTAAAAAACATCCTCCACTACACTTTAAGTTTGTGGTTGAAAATAGTATTTAGCTTAGGATTTTGAGAAAGGAGGTAGGGATTAAAGAGACAGAACATTGCTAGCTCAAAGCTTCTTTTTCTTGTGGTTCTCCCCTTTTGGGACTCTGAGTTTTTAGTTTTCAGTTTTCAGTTATTCTGTTTTGTTGATCTTTGGTTTTTATTATATTCAAGCAGTCTTTAGCTACTCTCTGTTGCCCCCTTTTGCTTGTTTTCTTTCCCCATGGCTTCCTTCTAGATAGTTCCACTCACACCTGCTCCATATTCAGCTCATTAGTCCATCCTTTGTTCTGTTCCCGTTATATACACCACCTCTGCAGTCACTCAGTGCTGGTTCCTTGTTGTTGTTAGTTGCTTCCTGGTCTCTGGCTCCCCACGTGAAATTTCCCTGATGTTTTCTGATTTTGATCTTTATAGTTTGCATTTTTGGATGTCTGCCTCAGTTATTTATTATATCAACAAGCACTCATCTCTGCATTTAGGTCCTCAAGCAACCTCACCCCCATTGTTGACAATTTTGGGACAAAAATCATCATATATATCAAAACAAGCATAGGAACTTGAATAACTCAAAATCAAGATTTTGCAATGCTGACCATGATTTGAAGTCTTTGTTCTTCTGCATAAAACTGCTTTTCATTAACCAAACTATGTTTCTGTCTGCTACCATTGAAAGACAACTATGCTTAGGCTGCAGGTTTGATTTGCTCTTGCAGGCGAATTTAGGTTCTAATTCCTGATACTATTATTCTTAGCAACTACAACATAAAGAAAAAAATGTTTTTTGATACCAATAATGAATTATATTATTGTGCAATCCATTATGGCATAATATTTTGTGATTATATTATTATGCATTAATATTACTATGTATATAAACGTATGCATACTGCATACTTATATGCAGCATGAGCATAGGATAATATGCTCACACTGCATATTCTAGCAGTATAAGCTCAAATATGCACAGAAAGAACTGTTGATTAGATGTGAAGAACAGTTAATGCATTGGGAAAAGGAGACAATACCTGTGTGGAGATTGTGGGCTGGACATAGCCACCTGGTGATGGTTTTAGTAAAACACTTATTGCTTCTACTCTGAAGATAGGAAATTGTAAAGGAAATCTTACAGGGGTTGGATTGACATATTTATCCCCTATAAAATACACACTGTTAAGCAGTTGTTTCTGAGCAGCCACTATGTTCCACAACAATTAACCCAAATATTCAGAGGTCTATGTGTATCAAAGGAACACTAATAGTGAAATCTGCTTCATTCTTTGTAAAATAAGTTGAATGACGTCTCGGTGGAGTGTTAATATAATGTGAAATGACTGACCAATCTTTCTGGAATTTTTGGGACTGCCAGGTGGATATTTCATATTTCATGATTCTGTTTAAGGATGTTTTTCAGGTTTAATATTTTCATTCTTATTTGTGTGTGTGTTTGGTTACACTAAATGATGCAAATTCATCTCTAAATTGTTTTCAATTTCGTCTGTGTTCTAAGCGTGTTTATTCGGAGCAGAGTGTCTCTAAAAAATATTTACAGTAAAGATTCTTAAAGAAGCTGGACTGCATTCTGAGAGTGACAATGGATGCAATAGCACAATTGAAAATGCATAACAGAAAGACTCCAAGCCAGGATTAAAACCCAGGACCTTCTCGGTGCAAGGCAACAGTGCTACCAACTGCACCAACATGGAGTCCAAAGTAAGTGCTTGTTAGAGGAAAAAAAAAACATTTAACTTAATCAAAAGTTAAACCATATAAGACTCTAAAAAGAGATGATGCATGTCTATGATTAATAACATTGCATAAAATGTTTCAAATTTTTAAAGAATTATTATATATAAACATGTTCTAAGATTTAAAGTTAAAATCAGTCAACTTTATCTGCAGTGTTAAAGCATTTGCCTTTTTAAAAAAGTCAAGTTAGTAGAAAATGGCAATAGTTTTTTTCGCTTTATAAACCCAACAGCAGTAATTATTTAATTAATATGTATATTTCAGTATCCCTGACCACATGAATTTTTATACAAAACCTGAAAATTAAAATTTCATGAATATTTTACAAATACTGGCATAGATTGAAAGGTGAAGCTTACCTTAAGCCGATATTCCAGCTTGATGATAGGACAAACCAAAATGGACGGAGGTAGCTCTTTGGGGATGGTGAACACCTTTGTCACAATTACTGTGCCCCCCCATGACTTAACACTATCAGCTTTATCCTGGAGAATGTTACGCTTATCCACCTTAATATAATCTCCTCCGTTGTATGTCTTCTTTTCATCCAACACAAACTTGGGTTTGACTGAACGATTTGAAAGATTGGTGATTCTAGCTGTGACATGAAGGTCTTCCCCTGCCAAACAGAAATATATCACTTTTTATATATTTTTTTTTTACATTTTTAAATTTAAGATTAAAACTCTTTGTTTTGCTTCACTTGTTTATTTTTCTTTTTTCAACTAAAGGTACACTTGAACAAAGTAGCCGTGTCTTCTCAGAGCAAATAGTCAAAGGACAGGGGTTACAGATTTTATCTGATAATACAAAGGCAGGCGATTAGGTTTAAAAATCTGAAGTTTGTTTAAAAGAAAAAAATAATTAAACCAGCGAAAAAAAGTTGGTGAAAGATATATATGTACTCCTGGAAAAATGAAAAGAAATACCTAAGAAAAAACTTTGTTTAAAGGTAAAACATTTAAAAGAGTTTGCTCCAAAAAAAAGTGCTTTTTTAATGCTCAATCTTTTTTTTATGGCCCCAGTTTAACACCATAGATCTACTACAAAGTTAAAAAATCAAGTTTAGACCTATTGATTTTGAGCCAAATATTGTCAATTGTTTTCCAGAACAATTCAAAAAGCCCAAAATATAAATAAGAGGCTTCAAATTATTTGACAGCTATGGATTTTTATAGCTTTATCATTTTTTTTTCTTGTCACACATCATGGGAAAGGGAAAGAATAAGATAGTGTGTACTTAATGCAAAATCGAAGAACAACAGTTGAGATGATCGGCGATGCAGTAAACGTTAGAGACACAGCGACACAAGGACGCTCTGTGTCACTGACAGGTGTCCAGTTGTCTTATAGTGACCTTTTCTGTTTTTTTCTTTTACAAGGCAACAAGGTAATTTAGCTATTTCTTAGACTTAGACAAATTTTATTGTTATTTTGAATACAGAGTGTGTGCAAAACGAAATTTTGTTTCATACAGCTCTCATGACAGTTCCACTTCTGTGCAGCATTGATCAAATGTAAACATTGAGAAAAAAAACAACATGGTGCAAAAAAACGCATTGATATGGTCTGTTTGATGGAGAGACTGTGACATGATTTAGTGTTTTTCCTCCTGGCATAATGACACCGTAACAAACAGGAAATATAGGACTTTGTCAAAAGAAACGTAAGTAATTGGCAAACTCTTCTATAATATCTAAAACACTGAAGGACAGCGTGCGCTAAGGCTTTTCAATATGAAAGCTGCATGTTTGACTCTTTGGGAACCTTTAAAGTGCTCTTGCAAAATCACCCCTCCTCCCCACCACTCTGGTCATTCGCCCTGTAGGTTCAGCCAGTTTGTATAAATCAAGAGTCACTGTGTGAGATAATGTAAAAAAGGTTAAATAAAAGGTAAAATAGTGTTAAAATACTAATACAATTGTATTTACCAGATTTGTATCCCATCTGCCTTGTAGAGATATCCAGTAAGACTATTCCAGAGCTCAAAGCAATGCTTTTCTCTTTGCTTTTTTGTTGAAAAACCTGAAAACATATTTCAACATGGTGGATAAATAGTGCAAGATAATATTCTATATTTCTAAGCAAATAATTCTTCATTTCCCTTGACAATTTAGGTTTGTGGAGAATTTTAAACTGTTACTCACCCTTATGCCTGGTAAATTCATCTCTTCTTTGGATACAAATGTGAAGTAGGTTTTAGCTTTTCTTGGCAGCATCATTGACTGTTTAAGCTTGGCTTTTAAGGTATGAATAATCTGGCCAAATATTGAGGAGAAGGATGAAGGCAATTTTCTGTTAAATTGAAATAAAATGCAATCATTAAAAAATGAAAAGTAATCAAATATGAAAGATCAAGGAATTTAAGAAAGTACCTGTCTGGAATTGTGAAGCTAAAAGGAAAAACATGGCGTCCACTTCCAATTGTCTCAATTGCTAAAGTAGAAATTTTGCACTTAATCAGCATCACACACATGGAAAATTGGGTGGAAAAAACAAAATCCTTCAAATATAAGACTCATACATTACCATTTTGCCTTGATTCTCTCAAGATATATTGTTTAACTCGATAATATTTCTGTTTATAGCGGTAATTCTCCTCTACTTCTGGGTTGAGTTTTCCCAATAGTCCGTAATGTTCACTAAAGTGAACTCGAGCTTTTCCTTTGGCTATAAAAACAAGGGATTTAATTCTTATTTCTTTGCAGATTTCCAGAATGATCCGTCCATTAATAGTGTCTCCATTGGTGAAAATGTTCCTGCTGTTAATTGCATCATATTCAATTTGAAAATTTTTGATGGTCATTTTCAGCAGAGCGGGGAGCAAGAATCATGGTGAAACTCACTGTGAGTGTGCACCCACCACGTTGGCTCCACAGCTTTTATAGAGACTCGGACATCTTGAGAAACCTGTTTTTATTGCATCATTCTTGCTGATGGCTGCAGTGTGCATTGTTGGCATACCAGTGGTGAGTTTGGGGGGGGGGGGACATTCAAACTACAATTATCATGCCAAACAGCTGAGTGAACAAACTGTAACATCTGACTGTTTTTATTTTGGTTTTTGAGTGTGACGGGCACTCTAAATGTGACATGACAGATTCCTGTAACAGTTATCTGTTCCTCATCTTCTCTTTAGCACGTATGTCCAGTTAAATGGAAAATTTTGCTTTGCATTATATGTGTTTTCTTCTACACTGTGTCTTTGCTCATCTACTTTTTTTCAAATATTTAAACATTTATCTATAAAAGTGTAAAGAAACACAAAGTACTGCAGAAACTTGCAGAGGTTTCTGCTTGGTATTTAACAAAGTGCAGTTGCAGAGGGTTAAGATCCCAGCTCACCCTGAGCTTTGAAAATTCAGGTGGGTCGAAATTTACCAAATAAGCACTAAATCTACAAATAACAATATGAAAAAAAAATTGTAATTCTAAATTTACCCTTACTACAAATTGGACCTACATTTTGTTCCTTTGCATTGGTATTTCATTCCTTACTACTTCCATTATGTACAGGTAAAAAACTACTACATGCAATTGTACCTTTATTTATTTCTTTTTCTTTTTTTACATACAATTGTACTTAAATCATTTTTCCAGTTTGTGGATTTTTAGACATTTTGGGGATGTATTATCATACACAAGTGCAAGAGTATGCTGTATCTAAAAGACCCAAAGCTAATTGAACGGTGTCCCTAGAGTTGCTAAGACCAGCATTACCAGTATTTATGCAGTCCTGACCATTCCAGCAATAAAATCTGGTACTTTTTCTGATGAGCAACTGCTCAGATAGGACACAGCAGATGTTTGTGGAGCCCTAAAGAGAGCAAACACACAAGGAAAGAAACCGGCCGAACAGCATTTCGACAAGGGTGCCCAAGGCATGGGCTGACCAGTTGGTTGGTGTTCCCACAGATAAACTTAACATCTCACTATTTCAGGTAATCTTGGACTTAAAACTGACACAATGATCAATCTACCTAAAAGAAACAAACAAAAAAAATATAATCTCTCCCCTTAAATGATTTCCATTCCATAGTACTCTGATAATAATGAAGTCCATACCAGATTTTCTATCTATAAACAGAGGATATGTTTGCAATCCACAATAACTTGAAAAAACACTTTGTCTTCCGCATGTGGACAAGAACTCTTCCAGTGCCATCTTTCTCAGCAACGGAGCCCCTCAACTCTGATTCCTGAGCCAACTCCTGTTCCCTATGAGAACAAATGTCTGCTGTCCACTAAAAACCACTTGAAGTTTGCAGACAACCCAACAACAGTGGGCCTGACGATGATAATATTCTGTACCGCTAGTAGGAGCAACACTTGGTGAATAATGTAAAACCAGCAACATATATAAAAGACCAAGGAGATCACCATTGCCCTGGCTGACCTTTTGGAAAATATTCAGGGGTTTTGAGATTATTTAGAAATACTAGTTACCCTTGGAATGAAATGCTGATGTGAGCCTGATTACTGTTGTACCGAAAAACCAGGATTTAAAAATTCTTGAGTGACTTGTCATTTATTCTTGTGTAAACAAACACCCCAGACTTGACCTTTCACAGACCTACTTTCCTCCAGAGGCCTGTACCAAGAAGCAGGATTACCAGTTTAGCAAGGTAACATCGGATTCAGCTTTGACCATAAAGCTGGATTCATTCTTAGCGAGGCTAAGTACCAAGGTAACTCATTCTGAACACCAAACCTTCTCCAGGGAAGCTAAACACTCCACCCAGCAGCCAGTCACATGTGGGGAAACATTCATTGAAAACCCGATTTAATTAAGACCGAATAAGAACTTTAACAAAACAACACCACAATAAAATAACTGGAAAAACAAAAAGCAATTAAAACAAAATATATTATTGACAAACTGAATGTAGCCCTAAGACCCTAATATCTATGTCCATACCCTTGATTTCAGAGGTGTCAAGTAACAAAGTACAAATACTTTGTTACTGTACTTAAGTACACTTTTAGGTTATCTATACTTTACTCCATTACTAATTTATCTTCCTACTTCTGACTTCTACTCATTACGTTTTCACACAAGTATCTGTCATTTCTATTCCTTACATTTTCAAAATAAAGTTCCTCGTTACTCTTAGCTACAGTTTTATGTTTATGAATATTTATTTCACGTCACATCATCCACATCTAGTGAAAACTAGTGTAATTGGATGAGTCATATAATGCAAACACTCATTGTTTAGCTAAAGGAAATCATCAGAAGCAAGCAGGTGTTCAAACTGCAAACGTGAATTGTCTATGCTATGCTACAATGTCAGATTCAGAAAAAGATGTTGAAATGTCTGAAAGGTGAGAGCATATGGAGACGAAGACAGACAAGACCTCCCTCATCCTTGGCCCTATCTCTAAGATTTTTTTTCGAAATAGTCAAGAAATCGAGCTTTCAATTCATATAGTGGAATCTGGCTGTTTTTCTTTTATTTTAAGGTAACTTTATACTTTTATACTTTAAGTAGTTTTTGGAGCACATACTTTTTCACTTTTACTTGAGTAAAGAGGTCAAGTTGATACTTCAACTTTTACCAGAATGTTTTTAAACTGCAGGATCTGTACTTCTACTTAAGTAAAAATATGTGCACTTGCAACACCACTGCTTTATTTGATTTGTAATAGCTTTTTATGAATTTATTTTTTTTCTCCTTTCTATATAACCTACTATTTACTATCCTGTATTTGTTTTCTCCTATATAATTTGCTTATAAAATAAAAACTAAATCAAAATCAGAGCACGAATTGTGGGAGGATCCTTTAGCCCATCATGACAATTACTTATATGAGTTATACAGGTTTTCACAGGCTGGATTGGCTTTTCTATGGGGGACCCCGAGGTGACACCAGGCCAGCTCAGAGATAAAGCTGAAGAAAATGGATAGATACAGAGGAGGCATGGTGGAGGAAGGGCAGGAAGCAATCTTTGAGTGGCATGAAGAGTGGAAAAAGTGTAATCCAAGCTGCTTCTAAAAAGTTCTGGGTGAGACTTAAACCAGGACAGAGAGCTAGAACAGGATCAAGAGCTTTGAGAGACCAAACCTGAGAATAAGACTAAATCAAGCTAAGAAAAAATAGAAACAGTCATCACACTGGATGCTTGGAGGTAACACATAAAACTCAGGCAAAAAAGGACTGGCAGAAGGCTTCTTTTGAGCACCACGCTTGATTAGGCTATATGTGAAACAATTGCTGCTGCCTTTCTGACGCCATCTGGAGGAGAATATGGTAAAGCAAAAGAAATGAAAAAGGACAAAAAAGAGAAAAGATGGAAGACAGTCTTCCACATCCTTACACTTAAAATTGAGTCACCCAGCGGGTTAATATTTTACAAGATCCATACAAAAAAATAAAAGTCTTGCATATTACATTGTATTATATTTATTGTTCAAATTTGTGGTTTTGCACAGCTGTATTTTTTTTTACATTTCCAACACAGTAAAACTAAAATTATTTAAGATGTTTAACACAAGTGAAATCATATGAGCCTTTTTGATTGTTTTTTGGTTTTGAATATTAAAAGCAGCAATTATTCACTGGTTTTGGGGGTTCTTTCAAAATAAAAGCATGTGCTACAGACAGAGTTATTCTATGGAAGCATATTGCTGTCACGAGAGAAAATACATTTTAAAAACTATCATGTTATAATATGATGATTATGTTGTACAAACTGGATAGTATATTATACAAATGTAATAATTATATAGTTCAAATGTGATAAAAAAAAAAATCTATATTTCATACTAGCTATTAAGAGAAATGAAAATTGCATTGTACTAGTTTATTGTCATTAGACTAATAATGAAATATGAGTGAGTGAAAAATACACTTATGTGTTCCTCTTCCATGCTTCAGAGCCACTTCTCTGGTATGCTGCGGTTTTATAGCAATCGCAGCAATGGGCTGTCCATCTTTTCTGGCAGAATCAAACATTTTTTTGGATCTCCAACTTCTTATTTATCTAATTAAAAGAGTCTCAGGGTCTAAACAGACTAAAATACAACCACCACCTGTCCACAAAGAGCTGGATAAAATTATGTTTGTCCAAAATATTTTATAATATTGAATAATTTAAATAACACTTTTATACAATATAGTTATGCTTATACAATATAACTATCATGCTTATACAATATTAGTTCCACCTTTATACATTATGTTAATCTTGATGATTAACCATCCAAAGTGACCCCACTTTGGATGGAGTAACTCTTCTTCCTAGGAATCTCGGCAAATTGATCAGTCCTCCAAAACCCAGACAGCATGGGGCGGAGATCAGTATTCATAGAGTAACACACCTCTCTGCAGCTTCTCTAGTGTTATCCACCCGTTACTCCAAGCCTTTTTATCTTTTCAGAAATTTTCTTTGTTAAAAATGAAGATTTTTCCTATATGTCTTTCAGGAGATGTGACCTGAAAGGTGGATGTTTTTGTTGCTCAAAAAACCTGAATCTTTTTTCTGTTTGGGTTAGTGTTAAATTAAGTATTACAACCAGGATGAGTTTTGCAAAGGTTTTCTGAACAAATTTGCTTATCAAATGTAGCATTACAGACACAATTATTTTGAGTCAAATTCATACATCCATAGAGATGCAGCCCACAGTTGTGGTTATGCAAAGTAATTTCTCAGGGATTTAAAAACAAATGCATGTCAGCCCTTTTAGATAGTAATGCTTAAATGTGCAAACTGGTGGATCATTTGTATGAACAAAATAAGTAGCAACTGATTTTCATTTTTTTTTTGACAAATATTAGAGAAGTAACATAAATCCATAGGCAAGATGTTTTTTAACCCTTGGGAGCTTCCTGCTATAGCATATCCCTGACTATTCGATACTAAAATAATTTTCGTTTAAGGAAGCTATTGAAGGAATTCTATAATGAATAATTACTCAAATAGTAACAAAGCCCATATTGTTCAGTTATGTTCTAATATTTATGATCTCTTCCATCCATCAATTCATTTACCGTCATGCTTATCCCTACTGGGGTTGCAAGGGGTACTGGTGCCTATCTCCAGCTGTCTATGGAAGAGACACGGTACACCCTGGGCAGGTCGCCAGTCTATTGCAGGGCAACACAGAGACAAACCAACAGGACAAACAACCATTCATGCACACACTCATACCTAAGGAGAATTTAGAGAAACCTATTAAGCTAAAAGTCATGTTTTTGGACTATGTAAGGAAGCCGAAGTACTTCGAGAAAACCCATGCATGCAAAGGGAGAACATGCAGAAAGACCTAAGACGGGGAATCGAACCTGGAACCCTATTGCTGCAGGGCAGCAGTGCTTCCCACTGCAACATTGTGCAGCCCAATGATCTCTTCCTATGGATTTAATGCTTTTGTACTATTATGTCTGGTGGTGCACCTTATTACTTATTATTTCATCTGTTGCATCAATATTGTAATATCAAGATTCACAAGACACTATGTTCAAGGATATAAATCAATTATATGATTAGATAAAGATTTTATTAGTAAAATACTATCCATCCATACAAATATTAATCTAAAGTGCTTCAAATGGTAGAAACAGGACAAAGGATTAAAAAAACACATGAAATATAAAAAGAATCAAATAAAGGAGTATACCATAAAAGTACAACAAACAAGATAATCAGATAAAAAAAAAGTATCAAATTTTTACAAATAAAAACTTAGAGAATGATATTTCCTTTTTTTTCTCTTCTCAATTTAATGATGGGAAATGTTTCTGAATATTTCAGTTTGTTTCAGATGAGAGAATAATAAAAACTAGACGCTTCATCTTCTGGTTTAGCATCGGTCTGGGAAAAATAATTAGAGAAAATGTGTCTGTAACTATGTAAATATATTCATACCTGACATCTATGCTTTCCCACCCAATTAAGTATAGAACATAAGCAGTAAGTGCTTTTCTTTGGGCTATGGACATGGACAAGTTCACATTAACGTTTGGTAAAAAAAAAAAACACTAAACAACATGTTAAAAGAAATCAACAGAGATGATGTGTAATAAGGTTACATGAAAATATAAATCATCATTCAACCATTTACTGGCATCATTTAATAATCAGTAAAAGATATAAATCAACTTCAGAACATCTGCTGGATTTTAAATCCGATATATGCATCAATTTTTTGTGATTCTTTAGATATGGAACAGTTTGGGGGCATTTTCTATGCGTATGTTTTCAATAAATTTTGAAATCTATTCAATGGGAAAACTGGACCATTCTAATTTATTTCACTTCTTTGAAATCATTTTAAGAGTTTTATTGGCTTTATTGGCTATTAACAAATTTCCCTTTTCAGTCTTTTCTCTCAAGGTAAGGAGCTCAGCTCAAATGTTCTTACATTTTTACAGGCCTCCTAGATCCCAATAAAACTTTTTCAATAATCTTACTGTTTAATAATTTTTGGAGACTTCACTCATTCAAAACCCTTAAGATCTATGTGATACACTTGGCCATTTTGGTTTGGCTTAAAATGTTAAACACCCAAAAAGCAAGGAGCCTGGTGGCTTGAAGCAATTGCTTTAAGGTAACTGCTAATAAAGATGAAAATATCCTGAAAAATTGTAAAGTAAATAAGGCAGATACAACCATATTGTGATCATGTCAAGCTAAAAATATGACGATATTATATTGTAGTCATGGTTTAGTTTTAGAATTTGTGGGGAACGGGGGGGTACATGGCAGATGCTTCATAGGGAGGCGGAAGACTCATCGCTTGTGATGTGGCACCCCTGCTTTGTGGGTTTGGGTTTCCAAATGCTTCAAATCCAAACCCAACAGGAGGAAGTGGCTGTTTATCATTCAACTCCCTGCTGTTATCTTCAGGTAAAATGACAATGGGGAGTTTAACCGTTGGGTCTGAAGCACATTTGATATTGAGGTACACCTGAAAGACAAAAAAGTTTTAAATACAGACAATTTGTGGTTATTTTTTCTATAGGGTCATAATCTTGTATTTGACATATGCGGTACTTGTCTTGTCAGATATTGTCTTTGAATTCATTTTTAACCCTTTTTAGGAGAAAAACATCCGTAGAGCTCTTTTTGTTTTGCGCATGAGAATTTGACTGCTGTGGGTGTAGCAAGGGTTATAGCCAACACGATCCAGTATTGCGTCAGGTTCCTGTACCAAGTATGTACAGTTTGGAAAATATTGATCCAACATGCTGACCTTTCCAAATCATAAGCTATGTTTGGGCCCTACATTTAAGGCTAAAAAGTGTTTAACTCTGAAAAGAAAAAAGCAGCAGCTCACAGGAGTCACATCTTAAAGGTATAGAAGACAATCTTTTATTTCCAGGTGGATCATCTAAGTAAGTGGTCCTACTAATTGTCAATCACTGTGGTGATATGTTTAGGTAAGGCTGTCCTACGTGCTTATCCCATTAGCTATCTTTTTCTGCACATGCAGACTTTTAGGCATATATGTGTGGTGAGCAACGGTTTCAGACTGTCATTGAAGCTCACCTGTCTTACAGCGCTTCTTCTAAAATGGACGGGGGTCATAAGAGAAATAGTGTATCAGAAGAAAAGAAAGAATGATTTGTGCAGAGAGCTCTCCTCGCAAAGCATTATGGGATTTCCTGTAACAGCAGCCAACTGTTGCAATAGGCTGTCACTACCCAATAATGGTGACTAATAATTAAGATGGCGCAGGCACCACGCAGTAAAGGAGGAGTTACATGACCGGAGGGGAGAAAAAAGCAATGATCATCTGTCTGAACAGTCAGTTAGCTGAGTTTGTTATAAAGTCAACTATATATTCCCCGCTCTGTATAGTGATTGAGGGATTTAGGGGTTAGGGCAGACTTTCGGATACAGTAAGCTTGTATGAGCTATGAGAACAGCAACTTTTAAACAGACTGTGCACGTTGAGAAATTGGCTCATGCATGCTCTCGCACGCATTTAATAGGTGTTCCCTCTTGGCAGTGTTGTGCCTGAACGCGTTCATTGAACGAAAGTTCATGAACTCGTTCATATTTTGGGCGAACGTGAACTGAACGTACTGTATTACTGCCTGATGAACGTTATTGTGAACTCGTTCATTCTGGTGTCTGTGAACGGCACGCTCTCTCAGTTCAGCTCTGTTCAATAGGTTGCCAGATTTCTATAGAGTCCTCCAGGCGAAACCCCGGCTAAATCACACCATAAATAGGCCTTAATATGTAGCGGGAAAAACACCCAATCTGGCAACACCAGCTATCAGCGTCGTAGCCTACAGCCGCGTGCGTCATCAAAACAAAATGCAGCGTGGAAGCCACAGCAGCATGGAGGCTACCATGGATGCGACAAAGCAGCAGTATGATCACTTAAAACAGGTTTATGACCAGGTGGTCGGTGAGGATGATGGCAACAATCTTACATTTCTCTGCAAACTTTGCCCGCCGGCTTTCAGTAAAAAAATCCGCACTTCAGTAACCTTAAATTCCTACCTCAGCCCGGTCCCTCAGTTTGTGCTAGTAAAATGTTCGTGAGGGTTTTACTATTCATGTAACTTGTTTGTTAAACCTGCCTGGTATAATTTTCCAGGATTCCTTTTTAGTATGTACTGAAATGGAATTTCAAATTGAAAAAAATATTAAAATTAAAAAAACATTTGCACCTTAAAGACTACTTTCCTGTTTTTCTTTTAATTACTCATAAAAAAGACCATTCAAGCAGCACATTTTTCCTGATGTTTTTGAGAATATACTGTAGGGGTGAAAGCTGCAGCTCCTACTAGTGTGAAGTGAATGGACAGCAACAATGGGGAAATGCTGTCCCCTCAATGCTAATGTAAATCCTGGTTGGATAAGGATTCAAAACTGGATATGAAGATGAAATCTGACGCACAGTTTCAGTGTTACAACTGATAAAATAATTGCTGTGTGTAGTTCTACAGTAGGCTATGGTGTAATCGAGCAATATATGAAAAAAAAAAAAAAAAAAAAGAACTATGAACAAGTTCATTTTTTGGAACTGTGAACTTAGTTCAAAATCTTGAATTATGAACTATGAACTGAACTAGTTCATTTTAAAATGTGTGAACTGAACTTTGAACTAGTTCACGTAGAAAAAGAACTTTCCCAACACTGCCTCTTGGATCGGTTACAGGGTTGTACATGCTCATTTTTCCACTTCCACCAGACAGCCTGGATGCTTACTTTAAATGTTTACACTTGGAATTGCATTTTTTTATTAAAATGTTATTTTATTGATATATTTTTAAAATATATTTAAAACCTTGAAATATTGCTGAAGCAAAAACGTAATTTTTACTAACACGAAGCAGCTCTTTGTTTTTTTTTTGTATAGGGTAGTATAAGAAAAACAATAACACTAATAATTATAGTTATTATATGTAATAATATGCAGTGTAAAACGCTTTGAAGTCTCCTGACCAAAAAAGCACCATACAGGTCCTGGTAGTAATAGCAAAACTTCTTATTTATGACACAGTACACATGATTTTTGTGCCTCCAAACAATTAAATCATGTAGATGAACCAAATTCACAAGCAATCAAGACACATATATATATATATATATATATATATATATATATATATATATATACACACACATATATATATATATATATATATATATATATATACACACATACATACATATATACATATACATATATATATATATATATATATAGCAAAAGCCTAAATGTTATTTTAAGGTTAATGCAAGGATTGTTGATTGTGATTATAATTTAAATAATTTTGATAAAATCAAAACAGACATTCATAGGAAAGAATGGCTCCACTGGTGAAACTTACTTTCAGTCTGTACTCCAGTTTAAGGATGGAACAGTTCAGAATGGATGGAGGAAGCTCTGTTGGCATGGTGATCATCATTGTTATAGCCTTCTTTCCGGATTGTGCTTCAACAACTTCAGCTTTCTGCCTTAGTATAGTGTTTGTTTGAACATTTCTTCTGCCCATAGCGAAGAAGCTCTTCTTCTCATACAGTTCGAGTTTGGGTTTGACTGAGCGATTTGAGGCATTATTGATTTTGATGGAGACCGACAGAGTCTCACCTATAAAATGGAAACAAATGTTCAGACTGAATCATAAAACAGGCAATGGAATTTTAAATGAAATACTAGGGCAAGATCTCACTTATTGGTTAAGATGGTGGGAAATATCTACCACTTAGGTATTATATACAATATTTCCTGCCTTTTTGTTTGTATTCTGTGCTTCACTGCTTTTTTATTGTCTGTATTGTTTTCCTCTAATGCTGCGCTAAAACCAGTATAAAAAGACCATGCAATTCCCCTTAAAGTCAAGAATTTGTTTATATTTTTAACTGATTTTATGTAACCCACACAATGTTCAATAAACACATAGAAGTTTAGATATACACTTACACCCCCACAAGTATTTAGCTTTGGAAACAGCAGAAAGTTTGTCCACAGTATTTTAGACCAACATACAGGTGCTGGTCATAAAATTAGAATATCATGAAAAAGTAGATTGATTTCAGTAATTCCATTTAAAAAGTGAAACTTGTATATTATATTCATACATTACATACAAACTCATATATTTCAGATGTTTATTTTGTTTAATTTTGATGATTACAAATGACAACAAATGAAAATCTCAAATTCATCATATCAGAAAATTAGAATATTGTGAAAAGGTTCAAAATTGATGGCCCCTGGTGCCACACTCTAATCAGCTAATTAACTCAAACCACCTGCAAAAGCCTTTAAATGGTCTTTCAGTCTAGTTCTATAGGCTACACAATCATGGGGAAGACTGCTGACTTGACAGTTGTCCAAAAGACGACCATCGACACCTTGCACAAGGAGGGCAAGACACAAAAGGTCATCGCTAAAGAGGCTGGCTGTTCACAGAGCTCAGTGTCCAAGCACATTAATAGAGAGGCGAAGGGAAGGAAAAGATGTGGTCGAAAAAAGTGTACAAGCAAGAGAGATAACCGCACCCTGGAGAGGATTGTGAAACAAAACCCATTCAAAAATGTGGGGGAGATTCACAAAGAGTGGACTGCAGCTGGAGTGAGTGCTTCAAGAACCACCACACACAGACGTATGAAAGACATGGGTTTCTGCTGTCGCATTCCTTGTGTCAAGCCACTCTTGAACCACAGACAGCGTCAGAAGCGTCTTGCCTGGGCTAAAGAGAAACAGGACTGGACTGCTGGTGAGTGGTCCAAAGTCATGTTCTCTGATGAAAGTAAATTTTGCATTTCCTTTGGAAATCAAGGTCCCAGAGTCTGGAGGAAAAGAAGAGAGGCATTTCATCCACGTTGCTTGAAGTCCAGTGTAAAGTTTCCACAGTCAGTGATGGTTTGGGGTGCCATGTCATCTGCTGGTGTTGGTCCATTGTGTTTTCTGAGGTCCAGGGTCAACGCAGCCACATACCAGGAAGTTTTAGAGCACTTCATGCTTCCTGCAGCTGACCAACTTTTTGGAGATGCAGATTTCATTTTCCAACAGGACTTGGCACCTGCACACAGTGCCAAAGCTACCAGTACCTGGTTGAAGGACCATGGTATCCCTGTTCTTAATTGGCCAGCAAACTCTCCTGACCTTAACCCCATAGAAAATCTATGGGGTATTGTGAAGAAGAAGATGCAATACACCAGACCCAACAATTCAGAAGAGCTAAAAGCCACTATTAGAGCAACCTGGGCTATCATAACACCTGAGCAGTGCCACAGACTGATCGACTCCATGCCACGCCGCATTGCTGCAGTAATACAGGCCAAAGGAGGCCCAACTAAATACTGAGTGCTGTACATGCTCATACTTTTCATGTTCATACTTTTCAGTTGGCCAACATTTCTATAAATCCTTTGTTTTTATTGGTCTTCAGTAATATTCTAATTTTCTGATATGATGAATTTGAGATTTTCATTTGTTGTCATTTGTAATCATCAAAATTAAACAAAATAAACATCTGAAATATATGAGTTTGTATGTAATGTATGAATATAATATACAAGTTTCACTTTTTAAATGGAATTACTGAAATCAATCTACTTTTTCATGATATTCTAATTTTATGACCAGCACCTGTAGGAGATCGGCCATGATTCAGCTTTCAGTTAGTTTTTAAAATTAAAATACGTGGTTTAAAGCATTTCTTTGTGGACACGTGTTTCCAAGGCATTCTTAAGAGGAGAAAGTATAATATGACATGATGAGGGAATGTGAAACTAATTCTTTTTCCTAAAGCAGACTTTGTTTGTCTATTTTAGCTGCAGCATAAGTTTTTACATGTTTGAGTTTTCCTCCTTTAAAACCAGATATTTACCAAGTTTGTATCCCATCTTTTGTGCAAAGATATCCATCGAAACATTTCCAGAACCAAAAGCAAGGCTTTTTTCCTTGCTCTCATGTTGGGAAACCTGAAAGCAGATTTCATTTGAATAACAATAATAGCATTGTAAACAAGTAATTGGTTTTGAGTAGCACTGGGAAAGATTTTGTTTTTCTTCTTTTTTTTCTCAGTTTCTCACCATAAGTCCTGGTGTATCCATGTCGGCTTTGGAAATAAATGTGAAGTGTGTTTTAGCTTTTTTTGTCACCTTCATGGACTGATGTAGCTCCGCCTTTAATTTATGAACAATTCTACCCACAGATGAGTGAAAAGATGATGGCATTTTCCTGGTAAGTACAGTAACAAACAAGGATTAGAATCTAAAGAAGACAAGAGATTACAATATAAACCTTACAGAAATAAAATACCTGTCAGGTATCTTAAAGCTGAAAGGAAAAACATGTCTTCCTTTCCCAATGACTTCAGTGCCTAAAAAAAGAGACATTTTAAGCTAGCACATCAGCATTCTAGGGATTTAAATCTTTTAAATCTAAATTTATACATTACCATCTTGTATTGATTCTCTTATCAAATGTTGCTTAACACTGTAGTACTTCTCATCAGACCAGTAAACATGGGTATGCTGTCCGTAATGCTCAGACCAACACACCCTTGCATTTCCTTTCCCAATGAAAAGAAGAGACTGAACTTTTGTTTCTTTGGAGACTTCAAGGATGATCCGTCCATTTATGGTATCTCCATTTGAAAAAGTGTTCCTGTTGTTGATGGCATCATATTCAATCTGAAGATTTTTAATGGTCATTTCCAGCAGTGTAGGAAGAACAAGTCAGCTCGTGTTAACCTAGTAGGGCTGTTCTGTCACATTTATACTGGTTTTCAAACTTGCAGAACCTGAGAGACAGGTTTTTAAAGCCTCGCATTCGATGAAGAAATCCACACCACGTAATGCTTGAGAACAAAAGCATGAGTGGAAAATTTATGTTAAATAACAGAGGCTTGACTGCTCTGGCAAACAGAAGATCTTTCACAATCAGCACCTGAATGGAGAGAAACAACACCATGTTTCCATTGAGGGTTAAGGAACACCTTTCGTCATAGACATGCTGTCACATGACACATTTCTTATTCAAATTCCGATCTCTGTTGGTGTCACATGACACACCTACTTCAGTGGGACGTGTCCTGTGATGATTTCCAATGTGGAGAGAGAAAAACATAATTTTTCCGATCTAAAAATTATCACTTTGTGAATCTCAACTCAAGCACTTTTAACAACTGAAGAGGCTGTGAAGAGTTTTAGGACATAATAATTAGTAATGGCCTCAAAATAAAAACTATCTAAAAAAATAGAATTACATTAGTGATGGTTCTTTAAATTTCAAGGTTAATGGCCTCTCTGTTATAGTGTTTAGAGACGTTTTGTGTGATGATATCTTACCACGTATCACAAATTTGAATATCACAGAACAATTTCTGCTCATTTTAATTAAAACAAACTAATTAAACTGATAATTTCAAGTACCTTTTGTGTTAGTGGAAAAACATACACATTACACATAACGATTTCAATAGAAAATATTTCAAACCACAGAAATTAAGGAAGGCACACCCTGAATTGCCAAGTTGTTCCACAGCTCTGTCCAAAGTAGGAGTGTATAGATGTTATAAAGACTAAGGTTCACTGAGTTTCTACAGTAGCATTTTTATTTTGTGTTTAGTTAAGCTTTAAACCTTCTAAATACAGTAGGAGTATAAAAACCTATCCAAACATGTCCCAGATTTCTCAACTGTTTGACTAATTTTAGCTGAAAATATACACCTATGCTGAATGTATGTCAAATTGTCATTTTATCTTTATGCATCTTTGTATTAAACTGTATCAGTTGAAGTTTCCTGACTGGTATTGTGATTAGAAAGCAATTCTATGTCTGCACAGGGAAATGCAAAAGCAGTTATTTCCACTGCTATGCAAGTGAAGCATACTTACTTTAAACTAGACCTGGGAGGGGATAGAAAAAATAAGTTATTTAAAAAATAATAATAATGTTTATCTTTTTTGTGTAAATAGTCTGGACATAGCATTGACTTATTTCAAATAATTGCTATTTGTCCAAACCAGTTAAACATTCAAAATTACTGGTGATATGATTATTAGTGTTAAAATTTATCTACTCTATTTTAATGGAGGCACTGTGTTCAAGGTGTATATTGCATATTAACATGTTTACATGATGCACTTAAGTACACAATTAGATGTACTGCTCAAAAGCACTAGTGAACAAGAGGGAATCTGTCTCAGGCAGCTACCGCACAGCTTTTGTGTCAAGCCTTATTGCCTTCGATTTTACTTCATCTAAGCAAGTATTTGCAAATAATCAAGTTTTATTAGCTTGGCCTGGTTTGTTGTTCGTTATTCTTCATTCAAAGTTATAATTAGTCTTGTCAGCTGTCCAAGCATGTTTCAGTAACCTTAATTTAACTAAGTCCTTAGCTTAGTTTTCTCAGTTTAACAGAGGTGTCCTCCCTCAAACTAAGGTTTAAATTTAGTTGATTGTTATCAGATAATGCAGCATTAAATAAAAAAAAATATGTTCACTTTTTTAACTTACTTTCATTTATAGAAAGCTGGCTCCGTGGTTTAATTTAAGGCAGTATATTCTGGGACGTAATGCTAGGAAACTGGAGAGAAAATGGTCCTCTACAGGTCTACAGAAATCCTAATTATTCTGGAAAATCTCTACTGCTTTAAAATGCAAATTTTTATTCACTAACAGAGGGGAAGAAGAATAATCCTAAAACTCACACAGAGCCAACGATTAAACTGTCCATTTCCCCTGATCTTAGTAATAATGATTTTATGGGATTCCTTATTAATAAAATGTATTTTATTCAAAACAATTTAATTGGCTCCTCTCTAAAGCATGATTGGTGCATATAGAACCTTTACTGTGTTTGGACAGTTTTGATCCAGTTGAGCTTTCAGAATTAGCAATATTACCAATTTCATCTAAGCCTTCAACTTACAAGTTACTGTAGACTCAGTTCCAACCAAGCTAAATAGGTATCCTGTATGATTTCACCCTCCATTGTTTCTTGCGTTCTTAACAGAGCACTTTGCTTTGCAGGTCAATAATGGTTCCTAGAATTTCTAAAAGTAGGAGCAGCGGCAGATCTTTAGGTCTCAGGCTCTTCCACGAGTTTTAGTCCATGTGGGAGACACTGTCTACTTTAAGAACTAGGCATCTAGCTTTTCTATTCGATAAAGTCTACGGTTAGTGTTGCTTAGGTTATCCTGATCCTTTAATTAATGTCAAAACCATTAATCATTCAAATGATCAGAAAAGCTCAAATATTATTACAGAATAAATCATTTAAATCCTCTCACTTTACTATTCTATGTTGACTTTTCAAGATTTAGATCCATGACGACAATTCCTGAGATAAATTGGTAAATTTTCTTATTTCTATAATGGGGTACCTACAAGACAGGTTAGTGAACACCTGAACACAGCGAGATTAAAGGTTTTAACCTCCTATTCAAATATCCAGCAGCACAGAAGCACCACTGGGGATATTAGTCTCACATTCCTTTTAACCATTTATCCCTCTAAATTCCGGTTCAAAACAATCCTGTCGACTGCAGATATACTTGGATGACTCTACTATGGCCATGTCCTATACTCAATTGTGTCCCTTTTTTTCCATTCCACTCAGCTCTCCTTGTGAACGCTTCCATGAGTTATAATTTTTTTTTTTGTCCTACCAACCTGGCTTTTTTTCCACATCTGCTCAGGAGGTGGTAAAAGGGGAGATGAGTAGGGCTGAACTATGATGTAAATGTACTACCGTTCCTAGACGGCCCACCAAGACTAAACTAAATTAACATTAAAGGGACATAGTCATGTTAGTCATGCTTTGTTTTATGTTTCTCAGTGAATAAAGTCCTACATGTATATTTAAAATAAAAATACAACATTGCTCATGTGCACAGGGGGTAAAAGAAAAGAATCAATGGGCTAAGCCACTCCCAGGTGAGTTGTAAATAATGAAGGTTGTGTGAAAAAAACACAAATAATACTCCTATTATTAATCTCTACAGTCTACAAATGACCTGATTGATTGATTGGTATTAACATAGCTGGAAGGGGCTCAGTTAGTTTTCACAGGGTTCATCAACCATGCACTTTCCAGGGAAGTAGTATTTCATTTGTGAAACTTACATTAATTCAAATGAAAAGGCTGTGGCTGATGACTTTTTGTATTTATCTAATTTAAATAATTCTTAATTTGATACTGTGTCCCTGTTTGCATTTGGTAGGAACATTGATTCATTTTCTCCTTGATGTTTTGATAGGAGGCTTTGGGGGAGGATTCGCTAGAACTTAAAGTTGCTGTAGATTGGTTTATTCAGTTAGAGCCGGTTGTCCTTTGACCACACCAAGCTGTCGCTTTACTCACTATAGGACAGTTAGGCAGATGGCACACACGTCTGTGTATACCGCTCATCATGCCCGGTGTAGGAATCCTTTTTAGGCTAAAAAAAATAAAATAAAATATTGTCAAAACACTATCAGGGACTATAGGCATGGTGTAATTAACCCTCTTTAATTATGATAAAATGTTTGTTTTTTATATGGGCATTTATCATGACGAGGCCCCTTTAAGAGCAGCTTAAACAGAGTGGGTCAAACAGTAATATCTACTAACCATAAATAATGCCTGACGAAAACAAGAAAAAGTAGAAGTATTTCAGAATTATTTGCAGGCGGTGCTGCTTGTAATTACCTAAATCTGATATCTCATCTGTGTCTATTTTTATTAGTTTAGGTTGGTCTGTGCTGTAGATTTCTATCCCAGTGGATCATTTTATACTAACAAATAAATATTCATGACATTTTTGCAAATAGGATGGCAAACACATTTTTTCTGGTTTTTTTATTATTATTTTGTTTTATACAATTATTTTTTCCACAGAAGTCTTTAAAGTGACTAAATCATGCAAAGTGAACTGTTGGCTTTTAACCTTTTCATAATAATGTTATGCTTGCATCAAAAACTTTCTGTTAATGTTATTTTTGGTCATTCACCCCTGTTTGAGCAATCCTCAATGACAATTTGCTCTTCTTGGCAGTTCCACCCACAACCCCAAAAGGTGTTATTCCGATTTCTCTCCTCTTGCTATTAAACAAACCATGTACAACCTGGTGAAGTTAGCAACACACCTAGAAGGTAATAATCCAAAAACCACCTTTAACATATGGCAGAAATGGAGGCAAACTTTATGAGCTGTGGTCTAACACATAAGGTTCTGGTGTTTGCCTCTAAACCCTGAGTTTAAGGGAAAGTTTAAATTATAAAATACTATTTACAGTTATTCTAGCTGCTGATAGAAACTAGACAATGGATTAAAAAATAAAACACTTAAAACATTAAAAATATGAATAACACCATAAAAACATTAAAAACGGATAATCCAGTGAAGAAAAAAACAACATTAACAAATATTAGCCAATATAAAGCTTGGACATGGTATACATTTTTTTCCTTCTCAATTTAAATGTGGCAAAATATTTAGCTGATTTTAGATTTTTTAAAGTTTATTTCAGATTCGAAAATAATAAGAACTAGATGCTCCATCTTCTAGCTTAGCCCTCGTCTGGCTAACATAGTCAGACTTTTCCCTGATTAGGTGAGGGGTTTGAAGTGTTCATACATGATTTTACTGAAATCGTTTGATACTCCATTTTAATCTACTTCAGAATAGATTAATTTTAATTCAGAGCCTTGCTTCTGCACAAACTGATGCATATGTTTTGAAGAAATTTTCAAATCTATAAAATTGATAAACTGGATAATTTTAACCG